CCCCAGTTTATGTACTGAGCATGACGTCACACGGTATGGAATGTCCCTTTGGCCAGTTTGGGTCAGCTGTCCTGGCTGTGCCCCCTCCCAGCTTCTTGTGCCCCTCCAGCCTTCCCAGTCGGTAGAGCATGGGAAGCTGAAAAGTCCTTGACTAGTGTAAGCATTACCTAGCAACAACTAAAACATCAGTGTGTTATCAACATTATTCTCATCCTAAATCCAAAACACAGCACTGCACCAGCTACTGGGGAGAAAATTAACTCTATCCCAGCCGAAACCAGGACAGATTCACAGACTGCTCTGTTGAAAATAATTTTGCAATTTTAATGGACTAGGCAAAATAGTCTAAAAAAAGATAACTGCCTACCAGTCTTCCTTTTCTTATTTCAATAAGGCATCACAGCAACCACAGTGCTACAATGTACATTTCATGTACACTATTTTTTTCAGTTGTATTTCAAACACCTTTTCTGAAATGGTGGTCTAGTGTCTTCTGAGATGTTGAAAGCATAAGGTTGCTATGAAAGAGCAAACCAAATATTCTGGAAGAAGATATGGTTGTCATTGTTCTATGCTCATTTTCTAATTCTTTAATGATCTCTTAATAGTATGACTAGCGACTAAAGCACGTATTTTTGCATGAGAAAGGTAAAAAAAGCCATGTAGAACAGAAGTACTGTAGAACTATTAATGAGCCATGCTGATAAAAATAAATAATCTTTTATTGGAGTCTGTGTGGAGTCTGAGTAGAAAAAAGACCTGTGTTGCTGCCTGAAGCTATTGCACGTCAATGTCCTCTTGACACTCATTTACTTTGATTTTCAAGAGAGAAATGAGCATCGTAACAGCCAAGGAATGATGTGCCTTCCACTTGGTATTGTGAACACAAAGGGATGTCCTCCTCAGCTCGTTGTGCAAAAATGGGAAATAAATAACTGTCGGCACCAATCTCACTGAGATTTCTGTGCCTCTTTCCGGCAGGCACTCGTTTTTGCTGGCCAGCAGTGTTAAAGCGCCTCTGTGGTGAGCATACTACTTTGGGCCCGGTCTCCTACCTGGGCGAGTGTTTGCGGGGGTCTCCGGGCGCCTCCGCTGCCTCCCAGCTCCCCGCCGGCGAAAGCACTCGGCGCCTGGTGGGAGCCCTCTCCTGCAGTGCCTCCTGGGCCGCCGAACAGCGCCTCGCATTCCCTCAAGTTACACGTCTTTATCCCGTGCTTTCCAGCTCTAGCTTAACAGCACAGAGGAAACGAAGGGGCATTGTCAGACTTTTATTCAGACTCTGGCTGCCAGCAGTGTTTGGTCTCCCCTGCAAACTGTGTTTGTGTTTCCAGGCTTGCAGAATGGAGGCACGGAGGGAAGGTGCTAAACCTCTGCTCCCTGCCGCGAGCACCCCAGGCAGCCCGTGCTGGCCTCCTGACTGCCTCCTGCCACACGTGCCAGCAGAGCTCTGCCCACAAGGACACCGGCCACGTGAGGCCTCTCGCACGTGGCCTTCTGGCTCCTGCTGGTGCCAGCCCTGCGAACACAGAGAACACCCCTGGCCCCCAGACCCTTCTGCAGGGCACACCGGGCCCCTTTGCGGGCTGCGGTGCCAGCCGTCCCTCCCCGGGTCTCCTGCAAGAGCAGGGTGGGAGGACGTGCTTCCCTCCAGACGCTGCCACGTGGCCATCCCTGGGGCTGGTGGGACACTCATGTCAGAAGATGTCTTCAAGCTCCTGCAACAGGAGCATGCCTGCCAGGCCACCTCTCACCCCCTAACCCAGCTGGCGTCCTGACTCTTGAAGAACACCGCCTTCGGTTTCATGTGGCCCTCTCGTACCCAGCAGCAGTTGGAAGGTTAGCATCTCCACAGCACTGCCGTGGATCATCCGGCCATGGAGAAACCGCCTTTGGCCTCACAGCAGAGTGACCAGCAGTGACATCTCCTAAGGGACCTTGGTTGGGCCTCACTGGCTTTTCTGGAAGAGTGATGGGGTTGACTTGGTCTCACAGTGGGTTAAGGAAATAATAGAAAAGGTGATAAAAATATAGGTGGTTAAGCAAGGGCAAGGAAAGGAAGAGAAGGGATTTTGAGCCAGAAGAAAGGTGGATAGGTGGGGAAGGAGTAGCGGAGTCACAAAGTGCTGAGGACAAGCAGTCAAAGGCTAACAGGGAGGCACACTTGCCTTATATACAGTGCAAGGACTATTTCAGGAGTTCCTGATGGTGCAAGAGTCATGTCCTGTTGGCACGTATGTGTTAGGAAACCTCGTGATGGTGCAGCTCACCCCCGCCCTGGACCCGGGACCCTGGTGTCCCCAGCATGCACTGGAGCACAGCTTCTAGCTTAGTTTCCTTTAAAAGGCATCCAATTCCTGAACTTCACAGATGCTTTGAGAACCAATCCAGGGCACAATAAGTGCAGTGGTGGATGTCACTTTGAAACCACACTACTGCTTTGGACCTACTGGTAGTGTAGACACAGCCCGAGACAGCAAACTCTTCCTTGGGTCCAGGCTACCATAAATAATGCCTGGACCTCACACAAGGTGTGACATCCATGGAGAGCTCAATCCAGCCACTTAAATATAAGCCCTTAAGTCCCATGTGAGACACCTGCGCCAGGCAGCAGATACATCACAGGACTCGGGACCCTTCTTGAGCCCCAGCATCTGTTCAGGATGCACCAAGAGCATCTCAGGTGGCACTGGACATCTATGGGCAGGCCACCGGATGGAGCCCGTGGTACTGCCAGCCTCCTTGCCTGAGACCTCATATTTCTTACCGGTAGTCTGGAAAGCTGAGCTGGACTGTCTGTGTTCCCGTGCCAGGCAGGACCCCCCATCCTCCACCGCCGCTGAGGCTGTGAGGTGCGTGGTAGCACCTGGCTCCCCGGTGGAGCAGGTGCCAGGGCCACGTGTGCTCAGCCTAACATTGCCCGCAGCTCCTGACTGTCTCAGGTGCACCCATCTCCTGGGAGAACTGTCCTGGCCCGCTGCTCCACACAGAGCCAACAGTGTGCCCACGTGCAAGGACGCACTTGGGCCTGGGGAGCTGCTGGGACAATTTGGCTCCTCCTGTAGGAGGAGGAGAGGCCAAGGAAGAACTTGCTTTCCATCAACAAGAAAATCTAGGAGAACCTCCCCCAAAACTGTACTGATGTAAGAATAGAAATAAGCCAGCAAACACTCAATAGCTTTCATGGGTGAAAATTGAATTTTCCAATGTCTATTCATTACACCGTTATGTTTAACAGAATTGCAGCGCGTGTCATATCCCAGCAGTGCACAGTGTTTTAATCCACCGTAAATCCATGCAGAGTACATCATCTGGAGCCTATGCATTTAGCGTGATGGAAAGTGGATTTTGGTGAAAATGGATTGAATAGCCCTGGTATATTGAGACAGCATCATTTTGCCAAGAAAAGCTCTCTCTGCAGTCTCGAAGGGCCTGAAGCACCCCAGCTTCCCTTTCTCAACCACCTCAAAAGCACAGCTCGGGCAGCCGCTTCCTCCTCCTGGAGAGGGCAGAGAGCCCCTGCTACCACCATCCTATTGAACCAGGGGAAATCCACAGCCTTATGCATGTGGATCCTCCCCAGATCACAGGAAGCTCCTCAAGAAAGGTAAATACCCCTTGCCCGTCCCCACCTCCTCATCGGAGATGATCTTTAGAGGTTGCTTGTCCAAGTCCGGTTCTTCTCCTTTGAAATCAAACTGATGCCTTCCCCAGGTGAGCTGTTGGGCTGTTGGCGAGCATCACCAACAGGTGGAACAGGAAAGTCAAAAAAAGGAGAAACATCTGGAAAAAATGAAGGGCCAGTAGCTGAAGTGAAGCTGCAGGGAGTAGAAACTATGAGAACAGGTCCAGCCATAAATCAAAGAAAACACTCGATAAGTGGTATCAAGTACGGGAGGCCTGTTTTCAGACATCAGGAGGACATTACACTGACTGCTTGTTGCCATCCAATTCGGATGCTGTTACGTACTGTGCAACTCTCGGCGATTACCGAGAAGTGTCTGCATGGAGTCATGGGAATTCAGGAAACTCAAAATATTTTCATGCTGGGAAGCAGCACACACCCCATGTGCTCTATACACCGGCTGGGAGAAATTAGAGGGGGAAAAAAAGGGGGAAACTTCTGGGAGACAGAGTTTGTAAGAAGGTTTGAAGCGGAGAGATGTGCTTGCCAGTCCTCCAGGTGGGAGCAGGTGAGCTATTGCAACAAGTGGTGTGGTTTCAGTATTGGTTTTCTTCTTGACTCCTTATACATCCCCACGTTTTGTTTGGTGCTATACATCGAGCAGATGTTTTCACTGGACTGGAGTGGGGCTGTTACCCGAGCGTTAGCCGGTCACTTAGTGACGAACGACGCATGGGAATGGTTCAAGATGCTCTCCCCTACGTGCGTTACCTTGGGCTTGCTAACGCGGTGCCCGCTCTGCCGCTGGGGAGAGGGAGTCCCAGCGCTCTCCCCCCGGAGCGGGGCCTGCGAGCGGTGCCGATGCCGCTCCCGGGGGATGCGGTGCTGCGTATGGGCACTGACTCCAGCCTGCCGGGTCTCATCCCGCTTGACACCTCCCATGCTCAAGGAGAAGAGGGCAACTCAGAGTGACGATGACTCCTTCCTGAACTGCCGTCTGCAGGAGCGTGTCCTTTCCCTGGCTACAGGCAGAGCTCGGGAAGAATAACCTTAAACAGTTAGCGTGGGTGCCAGGTGAAGGTGGATGGTTGGGGACACTTCCCTACCTCACGTGGTGCTGGAGAGCCTCTGCGGCCAGTGTGCCGGCTGTTTTACTTAACGAGAGGCAGGCAAAGCTATAGTTCAGAAGCAGGAATATAACAGACATGGGGCTATTTGGAGCAACTTTATTTAAAAAAAAAAAAATCCATCGTGGTGGGTTTCCTACATGAAATACTGTCAAGCTGTGAGAGGGAAATAGGGATTTTAGGAGAAAAGTGTGATGCACGTGCAGATGAGGAGGGGCCCGATAAAGCAGACTCCCCTTCTTAACATTGTTATTTTGACAGATTTCGAAACTCGAAACATTCTGTGTGTCTTATAGCTGATTATATATAAACGCTTGTTGGTATTTATACACTCTACGCTTTTATTTCAAAGTCCTCTCTCCCCATACATTTTGATAGTGTTTTCACCTTTGTGGAGGTTCATTAAACTCGCTTTGCTGCAGGATGCATCGAAAGCCAGGAGATAATCTGCAGGCTGTTGACACCATAATACTGTGATGGTTTGTATGCCATTAGAAGGGATGACAGAAATGTTCATCTATGGAACCTGAACTCAATACATTGTGTCAGTATACAGTATAGATCCCTTAATCCATAGACTATTATTAAAATAGTGGATTAAGGAGTTGTTTGGGATCAGAGCGTGCTGTATATGTAACAAAACAGTTTAGCCGAGATTAGTATTTATTGCTCAACGCAAAAATTGATTGAAGGATTCGTAGATGCTGATAATATCAGAGTTTGTGTTTGATTACTAAATTATTGCCTTTTTGCCATACAAGAGCTGAGAATAAAATAATCACTTTGTGTGAAAAGATAAAAACTGAATAACTGAAGTAAATCCATTATTAATTAAAATATTTTTTAACTTCATACTAATAGAAAATATTAGTATTTAGATATATTGATATAAGAATAGAAATAAGCCAGCAAACGCTGAATAGCTTTCACGGGTGAAAATTGAATATTAATAAATCAATAATACAATAATAGTATAATAATAAATATGAATACTAAGTATTTAGATGGTTTAAAATGCATTGTATGAGAACGTGCATGGAAAGGACATTCAGACTTGCAAAATAATAACTTGTAAAATATTTTTTTTAAAAAAGAGTTCACAAGCTGTTATACAGATCAGTGTCAATTTAATCTAACCCAAAGCGAACTGGAAACCAGAAGTATTTTCCCCTACAGTTTCCTCCTGTCAGCAGTCTTTCTGAATTTGTCAGAAGGGGAAGTTTTGTTCAACCGTGTGGTAAAGTTGAACTGAGTAAGACAGTGGCAGTTTTACAGACTTATCTTTAATGGGGCAGAAGGTTGTCAACAAGCCGTTTGGGTGACATCTCCACACGAGCGTGGCGAGCAGATGATTTGAGGATTACCAGGCTGCCGGACAGGTCAGCTGGCATTTTTAAAATCTCTTCTGGAAAGGACCAAATCTGCAGCCAGAAGCTGTTTACTGGGTGGAAGGGGGAGGGAAATGGGGTTTGTTCAAAAGGCAGAGACCCTGGGGTTTGTTTGTGTGCCTGCCACAGATCGCCGTCTTTAAAGCTCGCTCTGTATACTGGAGAGCTGAACTCCGGCTGACACTTGTTTTCAAGCGAACTAGTGGGCAAAGTGAAATTTCAGTAGCAAAGTGCCAACATGAGAAGAAAAAAAATGTTTATAAAAACTGTATTGTATTTCCTATAAGTAGAACAGAACCATTTTTTCCCAAGGTGGAACGTGCTAGTACCAAATTTCAGTTATACTGCAAGTCATATTTAAAAAATTGTTTATAATCCTAGTTTAGGATTTTTTTTTTAAATTCTGTTGTTGATAGTCCAGGTCCCTACTGTACTTTACAGAAGAGTTTGGATATTTCTGAATGGAGGTTCAGACACTTCCATATCAAGCAAATAAAACCCCTGCCAGCGTGCCTGTGCTGGAGATTTCTCTTCCACGGACTATCCGTCAGCGGATCGTATCTGTTAGTTTTCAGGTCCGCTTCCTACATCTGGACAGCCCCTGGACATACGATGCTGTTGTTTGTAAGAAGCTTCTGAAAGGTGGTGCAGCAGAAGGGTGCAGCAAATGGAGTTCGGCACAAGGCATCCACAAAGGCATCGCTTTGGGAGCGCACATGAGTGGCATGCAGGGAAGACTGTTGTACTTGTAGGCAACGATGCTCGTGCCCAGGGTAGTGCAGCAGGGACCAGGAAACCTTCGTATTCTAAAAAGTGTCACCTGAACCAGTGTGAAAGGAAAGAAAGACCTTTGGCAGCCTTTCAGTGCGGCTCTGAAAGAGCTGCCACAGTTGTGGCCAAAGAACCGGGGAATCGGCACCGGGAAACCGGAGGGGAAAATATCTGGAAAAAAGCTGGTGAGGTTTGATGAGTTGATTTCCTCGCTCAGCTCTCTGCGAGGCAACGTTTAAGGAGTGTCCAGTTTTTAGCTAACCCTAAACTAAAGGTTTGTACAACTTAGCTTTTACTTCTCATTAGTTAAAAAGTCTTTTATAACTTAGCCCTGTGGTACCAGCGGTTTGGATTAGGTTGCTGCTAGCTTCAGAAGTTATGCTCCGCTTTGACATAAAAATAAATGAAAGAAACATTTGAAGAAGTCTTAGAGAAGTTACGTCTAGGCTGCCTACCTACCACTCTAACAGACTTTCCATAATTTTTTACATTTCTAAAGTCCTTATATAAAAGACAGTAGTCCATTATCTTTTAATGCCAAAAGGAAAAAAAATAACCAGAAAAAGAAAACCAGAAAACACAGCTTTGACTGATTTCTAGTAAGATTCTTTTTATCCAGTAAATTTGTCAAGATCAAGAAGGTAAGAATACATGTTCTGAATATAGTGGATACTCTGAATATATTATTCTGCTTATAGTCTCTGAAACATCATTTCGATGCTACTGCTTTCTGTCATGTCAGAAAGCAGCATATCTCAAAAGAAAATAGTTTTCCAAAGACCATTAAGCATACAAAGGCTAATGTCTCTTGTCACTTCAATGAAGTAATTTTCTTATTTTTATAAAGGGAACAGAAGGCTTTGGCAAGTGTGATAAGATTTTGTGAATGTTTTCGATGTGAGAAACACCAAGTGAAATGATTTTGCTCTCCTCAAATAACCTGGGTACCCGTGCGTCCCAGCAAGAAACAGACTTTTCACCAGGTGAATAGTGGGACAGAACTACGTTATACCCCTGTCCTCAAGCACAGGCTGTTGCCACTGGCAGCAGAAGTCCCTCAGGCTCCCTGCAGACGCTGAAGTGGGCTCCAGCCCCTGGGAAATCCTGCCGTCCCTTGCAAACGGGCAGAAGCGCTGTGCATGCCATGTTCTGTCTTGGCTAGGATTTTAAAGACTAAATTCTCCTTTCCTCTCTTTGCATGAATTAGAATTGTTTTTTTTATTTTTGTGTTCGTTTCGTTGGGCTGGAGAGGTAAAAATGCCAGGTAGCCCCCTCACTGACTCATCTCTGCTCAGTGCCACGCGCCACAGCAGGATCGAGCCGGGAGCTCTCCAAAGGCCTCCGCGTGGACAAGGCAGATGTAAATTTAGTGCTGGTCCCAGATCCCGAATTGAAGGGTCTGCTGACCTTGTCATCCACGTTCATCACGGCCAACAGGTGCACACAGCCCCCGCATCCCAACAGCCTCACAGTGACCAATGTTAGAGGAGTATTTTGGAAATACACTTTCCATTTAACCTTCAGTTTTGTGCCTGATGTGGCATGAAAAGTAGTAGTTGTCGCAACGATTTTAATGACATGGAAACATTTTCTGCCACCAACTAGACCGGAATCATCAATCGTTTCACAGAGGTGGCCATATGGCTATCACATGGCAGGAAATTTGTTCTCTAACAATTTGGGCTACTTTTGGATCAGCCGAGGACTGAAAATCTTCCCACCCTAGAGTCCAGCCGTGGAGAGCGACCTACAACTTAAATGCAAGTAGAGGGATGCTAGCAGATGAAGAAACGTGCCAGCTAGCCACCTCCTGTATCTCACATCTTCTTTACAGGGAAAAGAGAGTTGTGCTTTAGCTAAAGCAACGTAGAGACTTGGTTTCAGGTGGATTCGCATCAGTTGTGGCTATAAATGACCTACTGCTACCTGCAGCACCTCCCGACCTGCCTGGTGACTTGAGAGAAAGGATCATACGATTGCTCTCAAAGGTCTTTAGTTGAAATCAGCTGGTTTAAGTAGGAGATCTTGGCTAACCTACCGTATTTGAACTGAAATGATTTCAGGATGGTCTCACGAACATTTCAGCCCGCAGATCTAACAGGAATATAGTCTCTGACATACCACCTTTGGGAGCGCCGCCCCACAGCCTGGCCTCCCAGCGGACAGCCACGACTGGAAGAGGACCCCGATTTCAGTCGCCAGGTAAAGCAACATTGGTTTTACAAATTTAACAAATGGTTAAATAGTCTCAAAGGGAGAATATTTACCGACACACCTATTGGACTAAAAAACTGGATTGGCAGACCTGTATTTCTCTCTGTGCTAATAATCCAACTGACTATAAAGGAAACTTGGCTAACAAAGTACACCACGCTCACAGAATAAGCCCGCTGCCCAGTTATGCTTGACAAAAATACTTTTGACAAGGAGGTGTAATTCATTGTTTAGAATCACTGAAATGTATTTTATAACTGTTATTCTCTGGCATTCACCCGAGAGGAGTAGCTGTGCTGCTTATCCAGCTGCTGCTGAAGGCGTAGAGAATCCATTGTAGATACAGAAGGGCTGAACATAAGACGTGAAAAATTTTGTCAAATTTTTGAATATGTTTACATCATGCGGGAGTTCCCTATATATATGTCACATTAGCCTGGTA